AGAGTGCCGGAGCCCCTCCCGGCCAGCCCCAACTCTGATGACCTCAGCTGACCCCACGCCCATGCACGGGCGCCAAGTCCCAGGTCCTGGGGCCCATCTCCTTCTCGCCAGGTTGACAGCCACCCCCATCCCCAAAGTGGCAGGACCAGCCTCCTGGCTCGGCCTCCACAATGGGCCTCCTGTTCCCTCTGACCTTTGTCCCCTCAGCCAGAGCCCCTCCGTGTCTGAAGTTGGATGTTTTCCTCCAACCCTCAGATGGGTGGGCAGGGAGAAGACGCCTCCCAGAAGGGGGAATGTTGGGGAGCTGGGTCTGAGGAGGTGGAAACCAGGCCACCCGGCTCTGCTGCAGGACACAGCCCCGAGGACTTAGGACACCCAGTTCTCTCTTGGGCTGACCAGGACCCTGTTCTGGCAGATGAGACCCAGAGGCAGAGCCCTGGTCGCAGCTCCAACACCGCACAGAGCAAAGCAGGAGCCACTGCCGGGCCAGGGGCAAGAGGGGGAAATTTGGCTCTCACCCCGACGCTGCACTGGCTGGAGGGTGCTGGAGAGCTCTCCGCCCCACCCAGCCTGCTCAGGGGGCCTGGGGAGGGAGGAAGCATTGCCCAGTGGGGCCAGACCCACCTATCCTCACCCCACGACAGGCAAGGTGGGAAAGGCGGGGGGCTGCCCAAGGCTGAGCCCATGGGCTGAGACCCTCTCCCCACACATCCAAGGCTCCCCCCACACCCAGAACTGACATGAGAATCCCTCATGAGAATAAGACCACAGGTATTCCAGACTCAGATTTCACAAGGGCCTCCAACATACAACCAGGGAGGATGCCGAGACCCACAGAAAGGCAGAGTCTGCACCCCAGAGAGGCACACAGGATGGGGGTACAGTGCTAGGCTCCTGTCCAGGGGGCCTGGGCCACCTGGACCTGGGGGCCCGAGTTAAACCCTCCCTTACCCTCCCCTCCCTTCCCTGACCCCCAGTGGTAAATATCCTCTGAGGACAGAAGGGTTCCCCAGACAAACACACGGGGCTTTGTAAGGGGAGTGTTTGGCCTTGGAGATCCCGGGCAGTAAGATGTGGAATCTGCTTACTCAATACCTAGGGTACCATGGAGGACCAAGTCCCCAGAGGCCAAGATAAGTCCCAGTTATGGGTCTAAAGTGCCTGGTCATGTGATAAGGAAACGGCCCAGAGTTGGCTGCAAAGTCCTTTACAAAGAACCCTCTCCCCCCATCTCCCTCCGGAGCCTGGAGTCACAACAGTGGGGCAGGGAGGACGTGAAATAATTCTTTTCTAAAGTCAAAGAATGGTTACTAATGTAGCCCTCAAACTGAAACCCTCAAACATCATTTCAGTGGCTGCATATTCCAGGAAGAGCAGGCTCAGTCGTCACCAAATCCTTGGCTGACTTGAGCCCAGGGAGTCCAGACCAGGCAGACCAGGCTGGGCAACACCGTGAGATCCCAGACTCTACAAAGAATTTAAAAATTAGCCAGGCATGGTGGCATGCATCTGTAGTCCCAGCTACTTGCGAGGCTTAGTGGGGAGGATCGTCTCAGCTTGGGAGTCCGAAGTTGCAGTGAGCCATGATCGCACCACCACATTCCAGCCTGGGCAACAGAGCAAGACCCTTTCTAAAAAAAAAAAAAAAAAAAAAAAAAAAACAGAATCCTCAGCTGAGACCAAGCCAGATGGCTCTGCGTCAAAACAACGGCCTCCTGGACTGGGGGCTGCGCCCACCTGTGCCCACCTGCACCTGCTGCTCAAACTCATGGGTCCCACAGCCCAGGTGGGAGCATTAACAGCACTTTAACCCAACTGAAGCCAGTTTCCAGGGAGAGGAGCCCTAGGAGAGCCCACCCTTCCCAGATGGGAGCTCTGGGGACATGCCAGCCCCAGGCTTCACGGAAACCAGAGGACACCTGCAATCCCGTCCCAAAAACAGGAGACTGATGTCTCCATAGGGACTGACCCCAGACACAGGGAACCTCCCTTGCGAACAGGACAGCAGCAGCCTCGGCTCTCTCAGAAGGGCGAGTCCCTGCCTCAGACCCACTGCAAAGCTGAGGAAAATGAGGCCAGAGAGGAGCAAACACAGGTCAAAGCCAGCCCACCCAAGACGCTGCAACCGTGGGTCTCCCGGCACGCTTCCCTGAATACAGCGAGAAGGGGCCCAGCCAGACAGCCCTGTCCCAGGACCTCAACAACTCAGGACCCTACAGCAAGATCACCCGGCTGCTGTTCCTCCCCCAGTGCAACCCAGGGAGGAAGGCCCTGCTGTGGCGGAACGCGAGTGCCCCCAGGATTCTTCCGCTGAAATCCCAGCTTTAGGGGATAGCATTAGGAGGCGGGGTGTTTCAGGGAAGCTATTAAGCGCCCTACCACCCGGCCTTTTTTTCTTTGTAAGGGAGAGTCTTGCTCTATTGTTCAGGCTGGAATCACAGATCACTGCAGCCTCAGCCTCCCAGACTCAAGTGATCCTCCCACTTCAGCCTCCAGAGTAGCTGGGACTACAGGCACGTGCCACTACGCCCAGCTAATTTTTGTATTTTTTGCAGAGATGGGGGTCTTGCCATGTTACCCAGGCTGGTCTTGAACTCAGCGATGCTCCAGCCATAGCCTTCCATGGTGGCTGGGACTGCAGGTGTGAGCCACCTCACCTGGCCTGATCAAGTCCTAGGAGTGGAGCCTTCATGAATGGAATTAGTGCCCTTATAAAGCAACCTAGGGAGCATGTTCACCCCATCCCTCACTCTGACGGCAGAGCACAAAGGCATCATCTATGAACCCAGAAAACAAGGCTATAGCAGAGACAGAGTCTGCCAGCGCCTTGATCTTGGACTTTCAGCCTCCAGAACGTTGAGAAATCCATTTGTTGCTAATCAGCTCCTAGTGGATGGAATTCTGCTACAGCAGCCTGAACAGACCCAGGCACCACCACTACTTAAAGAAAGAGGGGCTCACCCTGGGATTCCGCGGAGGGAAGTCTGGACTCGGGCCCACCCCAAGCACTCTCTCTTCTTCTACTGGGTTGCTTTAGCAGGGCAACTGGGGGGACCTCGCCCACAGGTCAGGCACTTCAAGAGGCAATGCAGGCTTTGAATGCCCCCCACCCCTCCTGCCATGCACCATGGTCCCCCACTGAAGAGCCTGCAGAGGACTCCCAGGACCCAGAGATGCCAGACACCTTCTGGCTAAGCAGCTAGACACCCTGCAAGTCCCAAAACAGCCCCCCAACTGTGGTCTGGAGCATGAAAAGAAGGCCCGACTCATCGCCAGAGAGCAGAGTGGAAGCTCCAGCCTTTCCCTGCACCCCCAGGCACTCCTCTCCTCCCTGGGCCTCAGTGTACCTGCCAGGGAGATGGGAGCACAGCTGTGCACCCCCCACCAGCCATGCCAAGAGCAGCTTGTGGCCTCCCAGGAGGGACCGTGGCTGCCTGGTAGGGGCAGCCCTTGGGCCTGTGGGGCAGGGCTCACCTTAACGCTGCGGTGGTGGACGCGGGAGGGCTGACACTTGACGCTGCTGGTGTTACAGCAGCCGGTGCAACGCTTCACCTCCACACACGGGGGCCAAATCAGGAAGTTGGCGGACGTGGGGTCAACCTGGCTCCGAGGAATCTCATAAATGACCGTCCTGGTCTTGCAGACAGCGGGGACGGCTTCCTCTGCAAAGGCGGGGGCACAGTGAGCAGTGACCCAGCACAGTGTGGCCCAGCATGGGCACCGGCCTCTGTGACCACTGCCCCACCCCATGGCTGCGGCAGCTCCAGCTGGGCCTTGGGGGCAACCACGGTGAGCCACAGGCCAGGATTCTCCCCAGGCAGCAGAGGCCGAGTTGGGAGCAGAGGTGCAGAGGCTCAGAGGCTGGGTGGGCAGGAGCACCACACAACCAGAGGAGCCTGGCCCTGTATCTGCAGACTGGAGGAACCTGGCCAGGCGGGGCCAGTGCCCAGCAGGGAGAGGTGGAGAGGGGGACTTAGGCCAGGTGGGGCCAGTGGCTGAGGGGGCAGAGGGGAACTTAGCAGCAAATCTTACAGCACTTTCTGGGGTGCTCTGGCCTTCAAGACTTGTCTAAAGGGTGCAAAATGCAGAACCCCCACAGCAAATGTCACCTGGGAGGGCCTGCTTGGTATCATTTGGGACCAGTCACCCACACATCACACTTTAAGGTGGAGGATACAAAATCCATCTTCCTGGAGGAAACCACAGCTCACAGAGGGGGGTCCACTTGCTCAGGACCACACAGCCATGAACAGCACCAGGGCTCACCCCAACAGGTGGGACCCCAGAGGACACAGGACTGGGGTGTCAGACCTCACCTTGTCCCAGGCAAGAAATCAGGGACTGGCCCAGGGCCTCCTAAACCTGCTAGTTCCTTCTCAGGGGGTTGGAGGGGCATGGGGCTGCTCTGTAAGAAGGGAGAAAATGTCCCCCAAATGGATGCCTGGGAGGAGCACTGGAGCCAGCCATGAATGGGGCAGGGCACTCAGGGTGCAGTGAGGGCTCTGGGGGTGGGTGGAGGGGGCAGCCCCTGGGCACGCAGGAGCACAGTGCTTACACCGCAAACTGGAAATTAAGCACAGCCACGTTTCCAGCAAGGCTCCTGAGGACAGGCCCCAACAAGATGGGGCACTTAAGGAATTTATGATGGCTCGTCTCCCCTGGAAGTTCTCTTGGCCCAGACTAGGACTCCAGGAGGAGCAGGCAGGCTGGAGCAGGAGACACTCCCAAAGGAGGGAGGTCTCCAGAGAGGCGAGAGCCAGAGGCACCAGGGCCAAGGCCTATTTTAAGGAGTAGGAAACGGGTGGCTCGCCTGAGGCCGCGAAGTTGGGAGAGTGGGCAGCCCCTCCCCACCCAGCCCTGCGCAGCCCACAACGGCCTCCTGGACTCACCAATACTTCTCTTCCTTCGAATGGGCAGGGGCCGCTTCTCAGGTGCATGCTTGATGGCATGGACCCCGTGAGCTCTCAAGCTGGTGTCCAAAGCATCCTCACTCCCTGCAGGCAGAAGGAGAGCACTGTGACTGCTCCAGGCCTGTGTGCTGAGCCCGGGGCCTGTCCAGCCGTACGTCACACAGACCAGCTTTCGGAGCCACTGGGGAACAGGGATCGGGCAGTACAGCCCCCCTTCCCCGCTACGAGGGGCAGGGGATCCCCTGGGAGAACCTCTATTCCCACCAGGGCTCTTCAGATATGCAGGATATGAAGCTACAGAAAACACCCCATTAGCACAGAGGTCCCCAAATGCAGGGACCTGTGACAAAGCTGAGGGCCCCAGGGGACTGCAGGTGGTCTCCTCTATGGCGCCCCATCCCACGTAGTCCAGGTGAGGGCTGTACCTCTCAGGGTCAGGAGAGGCCGAAGGCTGCCCGGCTCACCCCACCACCCTGAGGGGTGCAGGGCTAAGCCAGGCCCCACCCCTGTCTGGGGGCTGGACCAAGGGAGAAGCAGAGGCAGCTTAGGTTTCTGCCTCCCTCCCTCCCTGTCGCTGAAGCGCTCCTTGAAGAAGTGGCTTAACCTTTAAGGGGCACTGGAAGCAGCCAGACTGGGCTGTTGGCCAGACCCCACTCCTCTCTGAAATGAGTCTACTCTAGGGCCAGTGGCCATAAGGAAAGACAGGAGGGCACGTGGCCTCTCGTGGAGCCTACACTGAGGAGTCCTCGGGGCCTGACAGAGGGAGGCAGCCTGCGAAAGGGGTTGAGAGAAGCCTGCATCTGCCAGGCGTGTTTACAGCGAGGCGGCCAGGTGTGGGTGGTGCACGGGCCCAGAGCCAAGACCAGCACTGACCCAGGAGCAGCACCAAGAACCCTATTCCCCACCCCCACCAGTGCACACGCCCCCCGCCCTGTCACAGGCACTAAGGGCTACGACAGACAGGCTGGGAGAGTTTCAGCTCTCTCTGATTCCAGCAGCAGGAAGAGGACCCACAGTCCTGCCCATGGACACTGCACGAACCTGGGCACCGTGGGTGGCTCTGGGCCTCCTTGCCTTGGCCCCCTGACACCAGCTCAGGGGTTTCTTCCCATCTCCCTCCATCCTGCCTCCCCAATATATAACCAAGGGCAAACAGGCGCTGAGATGGTGAGCCTCACAGCCAGGATGTTCCAGAGGCACAGAGATATCCCCAACCCCTCCTAGGAAGCTCAGGACGTCCCAGTCACCAGCACAGACGGCTAATGGGCTCTGCACCTCCTAGGTCCGGGACAAGCAGCCCAAGGCCTCTCTCCCCAGCCCACCGAGGCACCCATGACTGTCCAAAAACCAACCGGAGAAATCTCAGCTTCCTCAACGCCCCCAAGACGCCCGAGACCTGCAAACCTCACATAAGGTGTGAATGGCAAAGATGAAGCCTGCCCAGAACCTTTTTACTGAAAATGACTCAATGTTCCAATGCCACTAATTTTTTTTTGAGACCCAAAATAAGATCAGAACTACTCACGCAGTAAGAATTTCCCATCAACCATTACAAGCAGCGTTTTTTTTTGTTTTGTTTTTTCATAAAAAAGTGACATTTATGAGTCATATCCTGGTGGTGGCCATCTTGCCATGGCCAAACCAAAGAGCGACTGGTCCGCTCTCCAGTCGATGGAGAAAATTCAGTAATAACCCCTATGCATTAGCTGCTTTACCAATGAGTTAGTGTCTATGTGTGCGGTGGCTGCTATCACTTCTTTCCACCTGAGGAAACTGAGGCCCAGAGAAATATAACAGGACAAGGAGGAGTGGCTCGAAGGAGCCTTCGTGGTCTGTGTCCACAGTGCACAGGCCCCATTCCCCACAGGCCTCTAGCCCTGGCTTAATAAACAGAGAAGACAGCACCCCTACTAGTTCACTGACCCCTTGAAAGCCTGAGTTGGCAAATTTCTTGAGATGACAGACAGAGGAGGAATAGCTCCCACCCCTTTGCCCCTGGCTCAAGATGCCAAGAGCAGACCATGCTTTCCAAAGCCACCTTCTGAGCTACGCTGGCTGAGACATCGCTCACTGATTGTAGCAGCCGCTCACAGCTCACCAAACACGGCCCTGGCCAGCAAGAATCACTCCTAAAACTGCTCCCGGAACAGTTAATCAGGAGGCTTTGCCTTTTGTGTTTTAGGCACAGATGTCCCAATGAGAACTCCAGGACGGGGAGAATCTTCCAACCATCAGTCCTGGTCTGACGCGACTGGCCCGAGTGGGGGATATTTATGTTATCAGTCCCTCAATGACCCCCGGGTGCCAGGCCAGACTGCTTAGGGGAACAAAGCTCCCCAGCTGCCCCTGCACACAGGACAAACAAGCCCTAAATGTTGGCTGCCTATCATTAAAAGACCACATGCTGGCTTCTGATCTACAAGCCACAGGTGAAAATGCTTCACTCTTCACTCCAGCACACCCTCTGAATAAAATGCTCCGGCTCTGGCAGGATGGTGAGGAATCCCAGGGCCCCTGCTCCTCCAGCCACAGCCAAGGATCGGCCCAGACCTCAGCCAGTGCCTTGCTCAGTGTCCCCAACTGTACAATGGGACACAGCCTGCAAGCTGGCAGGAGCCAAGTGCCAGTCACAAAGCCCCACCCACTTGGGGGAGGAGTCAGCATAGCTGGGGAGCACACCTGGGGTTCCTGAAAGCCTCTTTTCTGTTTCCTACAACATAGGCCTCAGAGGCACCCAAAGCCAAGAATGTCAGCCTGGAAGGGTTCTACAGGAATTCCAAGGGAAAGTTGTCACATTGGGTTTCTCCCAGCACCCAGCCCCTTCCTCATGAGCCCTGCACTGTCCCCTGCCCGTAACAGACCAGACGCACCTCTAGATCTAAAAGGGAGTCCAGGAACCGAAGGGACGCTTACCCCACAAGAACTGACCACAAGCAGTTTACAACCCTCCCTATGAGAGAGCAGGAGGTGAGGAAAAGACACCCCCTGCAAGCTGGAGAAGCAGCCAGACCTCTCTGTTCCTCAGGCCAGAGATTGTGGGTTCCTCTGGTTCCGTTTCCCGCCAGACCTGGGGAGGTGACTGGACAAGGATGAAGGCAACCCCCCTGAGTCACAAAAGATCTCCCACCAGGGGCAAGGCTGGGGGCAAGAGAGAAGGCAGATGCCACCCCCACATTCAGCCTCCCAGACACAAGGAGAATCCCATTCAGACCCCAAAACATCTCACGGAGATGTGAGGGCTGATGAGATCTGCTCTAGTCATTCCCCGGGGCAGGATGAAAGAGCTCCCAGGACGTGGCTGCAGGGAGAATTTGAAACCGGCTGGGAGGACTAGCTTGGGGCATCCTAGTTGTTTTCAGTTTGGACCCCACGACCTAAAAGCCCCCGGTCAGGAATGCCATCAGCATAACCCCACGGAGCGGCAAAGCTAAAGGCGATAATGGGTGGGGGTGGGGGAGGCGGGGCTGCCAAGACCAGAATAAGAATAGTCCCAGTAGAAAGTGAATGGCCCATTTCCCTGCGGCTTCCAAAGACAGTCCCAGGAGGAGGCTCATCTGCGAGCACCCCCCCCCCCCAAAAATAGCCCTGAAACCTTCTCCGGGAAGCAGTCTCTCCACTTTTCGAAACCCATCCAAGACCAGCGAGATTCAGGCAAGTGTTCCCCCCTACACACACAAACCAGAGCCAAATCCTTCTCCCCAGAGTTATCCATGGAGGGACCTGATCAAAATCCCCCCGCCCAACTGTGCTCTGGAGTGAAACACTACCGCCCCCGGTTAAAGATCAGCCCAGGGATTTCCTGGGTCAAGAAACTACAGAAACCATCGGCCTTGTTAGAAAATGGTTTTGGCATGAAACGAAAATAGTTCAGGCTTCTCCACCACCATAATTAGGTACAAATTTCCAAATGACTAGACCATGTGATTTCACTTAATCCCCCCATACCCCCCCTTTTCCAGAGTCCTCTGCAGGGAGAGAAAAGTCTTCATTTCACGTAACTTCTTCCAGTTCTGCTGCCTTTAGCTGCTCTTTTTAACAAGTTTATCGCAGGCCCCCTTTTGAAACCAGCTAACGAGTTCTTCCACACGAGGATTTCCCTGGTTAAAGCTCAGATTGGAGTTCCCCCGCCAAGTGTGCATTTTGAAAAGGGCGCCACAAGGACCTGGAAGACCTCGCCTTCTGGGAAGGGGCTATCTAGCCCTGAGGGGGCGGGCGGCCACCCTACACCTTCGCCCCTCCCACCCAACGTGGTCCACTGGGGTCCCCCGGGTGTGAGAAGCCCCTTTAACCCTTGCCAGCCCGGGTCTAGTCCAGCTCTGCAGCTGACATTCGCTCCAAAACTCTGTGCTCGCAAATAAGCTGTTTTCTTTAGTGACTCGGCCTCAGGGCCTGAGGGTGAGACACAAAAATAGCCCCCAGGCAGCAGATGCGTCCAAGGCCCGGCTTTTCATTAGGTAGTGAACATAGAAAGACACCGGTCTCCTGCAGCCACAAAGGCCTAGCCCTGCGGCAAGAACGCCGCACCAGCTCCCAGGGATTACAAAGGTGCGGGGCCCTGATCCGGGGACCGACTCCGCCCGCCCGTGGGTCCCGGAGGCGCGCCTGCCCTTGGGGACTCGCTCCGCGGGCTGCCCGCCCGGGGCACTAGCCAGGGCTCTGCGCCCAGGGCCTGGGGGTGCTCCCGACGCTCCTCCGGCCCCAGGGCAGGCGGGGGGCCGGCACACCAGGCGAGGGCGCCGCGGCTGAACTTTGTGTGACACACGCGGCGTTTTCCTTCTAGGCGAAAACAATCCCCGGGCAAGCGAGCAGCCCTCGGCCGCGACTGGGAGAGAAAGTGGCGACTGAAAGAGAAACTCCTGACTCATCCGCCTGGGCGCTTAGGGCCGGGGATTGGATTCTGACCTTTCGGTGCGCTGCGCGGCGCCCCGCCCGGCCCCAGCTCGGGGCGCACCGGGCGCACAGGCCGCCCGCCCCGCACCTCCCCGCGCGCCGAGGGAAGGGGCGCGATTTACCTACGGAGTCTATCTCCAGGAGTCGCTGGAGGTCCCGGATGCTGTGGATCTGACTGTGCGCCAGCCTCTCGATCACCTCGCGGGGGATCTCGGCTTCCTGCAAGCAGAAACCACACGGTCAGCGCCCGCGGCCCAGGGCCCGAGGAGACCCCGCGAGCGCCGGCCGCAGCCCCGGCCCCAGACCCCGCGGAGCCCTCGCCCCGGCCCTGGAACCAGAAGCCGGGGGTGGGGCTGGAAAAAGACCACGAATTCTCCACCCCCATCCATGGTCTGCCCTTGGTAAAATCAAAGTCCCCCCCGCTTCACATTTTCAGACAAAAGCCCCCGCACTCCGGCCCCTCCGCCCGGGGTGTCAGTTACAGACGATCTGGGGGCAGCTAGGGGGCCGGGAGTTTCTGATTTAAGAGTGAGATCAACATCTAGAAAGATCAAGTTAAAATGCGTCACGGATCGGCGAGAGTCACGGCAGCCCTCACACTTTAATCCAGACAGGGCTTAAATTTCACGCCCGGAATCCCGGGCCGAAGCCGCGGAGAGGTCTCTCCGTCTCACAAACACACGCGCGCGCGCGCAGACACACACGCACACACACGCGCGCACACACATTCACTCACACACTCGCCCCACCCCGGGCTCCGGCCCAGCCGCGGCCCTAGCGCCGACCGAGACGCCCAAATCCAGCCTGCGGGCGGCTGGGAGAAGCCTTCAGGGAGAGCGAGGGTTAAACTTCCACCTCACGCAGCTCTCCCGGCCCCGCAGAGACCACCCTCATCTCTGGCCTCCCCCACTCCCCTTCCTGATTTTTAAGGAGAGTCGGGGGTCGCTGGGGAGCCTGAAGCACTAAGTTCCCACGCCGGGGGCTGTGGAAAGTCATTCATCACAGCAAAGCTCCGGGGGATGGGGATAGGGATGGGGATGGGGGGGCGGGGACGCCGCGGTGGGAGGGTGCGGGCGCCTGGCCCGTCCCCAGCTCTCCTCGCTCAGCCACCTGTAAGCAGGACCCAGCCGACGGGACTGCGCCGGTCCTGCGCCCCGCCGGGCTTGGGCACCGGGAACTGGGGGCTGCGGCTCGGCGCTGCCCACCTTTCCCGGCCAGAGGCTTCCGCAGCAGCCGCCCCTACCTGTTTATCGGGCGCCCTTCCGTCCTCCCCTGGCTCCGCCGGCTCACACACACACACACCCCCTTCCCAGCTCCCCACACCCCGCTGCTGCAGCGCCCGCAGAGCCCCAGCTCCCCTTCCCCGAAGAGGCCCCCGCGCCCCCCGAAGTTTCTCCCCACTCGTCCACCTCGCTGATCCCCGGTTCCCCCCGAGGCAGAGCGACGCAACACGCTGGAAACTCCCCACACACACTTAGGCATGGCAGAAAATAGAACCCAGTTGGGAAAATTTAAACACCGACCACCCTAGCAGAAACCAAAATGCTCTCTGCAGAGCCTGTGGCGTCCCAGCAGGCGGGCGGGCGGGCGCGGGGGGTGTGCGCCTGAGAGCCGGCGCAGAGACTGGGCGCGGGGGCGGCACCCACCTCGGCCAGAGCATGGGCGAGGTATCCGCAGCCGAGTAGCAGCAGGCAAGCCCAGGTCCTCATCGCGTCCCGAGGCGCTGGCGGCTCGGCGGAGAGGCGAGGCCGCGGGGCGGGCGCTCCAGCCGGGCTCCTGTGGCGGCGAAATTCAGTACCATCCCTTAGGGAGCGCGGCCCAGAGGAGGGTGGCGCGGGGAGCAAGGAGCTGGCAGAGCGCGCCCGGCGCGAGCAGCGAGTGCGGAGAGGCAGGCAGCGCCAGCCAGGAGGAGGAGGAGGAACGGAGTGCGCGCCCGCCGCGCTGGGAGCCTCCTGGGCCGCCGGGTAGGGGGTGGGGACGGAAGGGGCGGAGGGCGGGGGCTGGGCTTCTTCCTTGGTGCGTTCCCGGTGCTGGCCGCCGCCGCGCTCGTTCTCCAGCGCTGGCTTCAGGAGCGACCCGGCCGGTAATTCTGCATATTTGCGGGCATCGGCCCCCGAGAAGAACTCCGGAGGGAGGCTGGGGCCGCCGCCGCGCCACGGATCACCTGTCTGGAAGCCCGGCCCGGCCCCGGCTGCTGGCTCGCGCTCTCCCTGCGGGCTGCCAGCGGCCCTGCGGGCCCACAGCCGGCCCCGCGCTCGCCTCCGGCCTCCTCTCGCAACCGCCGCCCGGCCGGGCACAGCGCGGCCCAGTACGGCGCGGCCCGGCGGCCTGCGTACGCCCCTCCGCGGCGCGCCCTCGGCTCCGGCGCCGCGCTCCGCCCTCCGCCCGCCAGGGCCGGGCAGCGCCCGCGGCCGAGCTGCCTGGCAGCCGCCACCCGTCCGGGACCTCGCTGCGCAGCCCGCGCGGGCCTGAGGGCGGGCGCAGGGCCCAGTCGGCGCCTCCGCCGCTGCAGCCGCCGGGAGAGGAGGAGGAGGAGGAGACGCAGGCAGGCCCGGCTCGCCGGAGTTGGGCGGGCTCCGCAAGGCGCGCGTGTGGAGCCGGCCGGCGGCGAGGAGAGGGTTATAGCGCCGCCGCCGCGCCCCTCCCCCGCCCCCGCCCCCCCTCCGCCTCCCCCGGATTCCGGGCCCCGGACCCGCACCTCGGAAGCACGCGGGGTTCGTGCGGACCCGGCAGGGCCCGGACGCCGCCGCCGCGGCAAGGAGCACACACGCGCTCGCGCAGGCAGCTAAATCCATCAAAGCCCCGCGCCCGGCTCCGCGCCGGGGCTCCGCGCCCCTCCCTCGAGCTTGCCCACCCTCCAGTGCCAGCTGCAATCCTGCGGCACCGGGTGGGGAGGGAGGAGGCCGCCGCAGAAGCGCCGCCGTCGCCGGCTCGCCTCTCTCGGGCCCCAGCGGCGGCAGCGGGCAGCGCCCAGAGCTGCTGCGCCAAAAAGGGCGAGAGAGCCGGCCCCCGCCTCCGCCCCGGCGCTCCGGCCGCTCTCCACTGTTGGGATCCAGGGCCCCAGCCTTCCCCTCTCCATAAAAGGAGGGGGAGTCAGTCGTTGGGGAAGGCGGGGACGGGTTTGGGACACTCACCTGGCGGCCGCCACGCGCCCCCGCCCAGGATCCGAAGCCCGGGGCATCTGAATGAGGACCCTCCACCCACATTTCCACTTGGGAACGAGCCCAGGTCGGGGGAAGGGGCTGCAGCCCGTCTCGTCCCCACCGTGGGACCCCGCGCCCCCCAGACCCCTACTCCCGCGCCGAAGGCAGGGCCACGCTCTGAGCTGGGAAGTCGAGGGGGTGGAATAAAAAGGAGCCACCGGTGAGGGTCCCCGGGTTCTGAGCCTCCCGCGTCGGGATCCGCGGGACGCGCAGAGCGCCACCTCCGGCCGAGGCGCAGCTCCGAGCGCTATGCGGGGGAGGAACGCGCGCCGAGGCCACGGTCTGAGCGTGGCTAGACGGCTCCCACTCCGAAAAAGAGCGGGTGCGCCCGGGCGGGATGATTTCGCCTCCCTAGACCAGGTGGGATTGGACCCGAACTCCGCGTCTAGATGTCCGTCAGTGCCCTGCTGGGGAGGTCTACGCGCCCTGGTACCGGGTTCAGCGCGGAGACGGGGGACGAGGGGGGAGCGTGCAGTGCAGACCCTCAAGCTAGACGGCCTAGGCCTCTGGAGACTAGGAGAGGCTCCCGTGGGTGGGCAGCCGAGGAGAATTATGCCCGCCCCAGCCGTCACCCCCAATCCCGTGGATTAAGCCCCCTCCCCTGCCGCGGCTGCCCTTCCTCCAGACAAAGGCGGTTAAGGCGCAGTCCCGCGGGCGGTCTTTCATCCCCAGCTCCTTGGGTTCTAGCATTTCAAAGGCCGAGTCCGGAGGGCGCTTCGGGGGCGCTCGCCTTCCCCCAAATTTGTGGCAGGCGGGGCCTCTCCCACTGCTCCCAGTGAGTCTCGTCTACTTGCGCCCTTCCACACACCTGCAGGCCCCCTCCCCAGGTTTCTCCCTCCCCCTGGCTGCAGCCCCAGCCCGCGGCCCCCTCTGGGTGGTCAGGACCAAGCGGGACCTGGACAGAAAAAAGGGAACCTTGGACACGTTGAGAAGCACCTGAAAGCCAGGTGTCGTCCCTCCAGGGGGAACTTGTGCGGCTCGGGAGGGGACACCCACTGGATGGCTTCTGGGAGGAGCCAGACCCGGCCTCATTCCACCTTCAGTTATTCCGGAGTCGCACGCACCCTGTCCTGCTAGGTTTCGGACCTCTCGCGGGCAGAGGGGGACTGAGAACACTTTTTGGGGTTAAAAGCCTCGGGTGACGGTGTGGAAAGCAAGGAGGAAGGTCGCGTTGTACTGGGGATGGAGGACCCGTCCCAGCTGGCGGGGTCCTGGTGGTTCTCGCCGCCTCTTGGGGGCCTAGATGGGTGCTTCCCTCAGCTCCCCTGCCCGGCCTGGAGCTACGGGTGTGCACAGCTCGAGTTTAGGGCCACCTGAGGACGTGGAAGGGGCGCTGGAGCGAGGCGGGGGCTGGGGTGGGGCGTGGGTGCATCACCCGCGGGACGCAGAGCTTAGGCGAAAGCGGTGCAGGCATCTCTCTAATCGCTGTCCGCTATTAAAAATAAAACCGCGACCCGTCGCCATGGTGACCACAACAACAGCGGCCTTGCGAGGGAGGCGAAAACTTGTGCAGCCGCGCGACAGCCGCCTTCGGGGGAGACTTGGGGCACCGCGCGCCCCAGAGCCCCGCGGCCCACACGGCGTGGGACAGGGACCCCCTATCAGTCCCGCCCCATTCTCCGCCGGGTCCCCAGAAAAAAACAAGGAGACATGGACCCCCACAGGCTTTTTTCGGGGGCTGGGCGTTGAAATCGCAGGACTGACTTAACCAAGAGGTCACTGGCTTGGATGAAACCCACGCCCACGTGGAACCCCCTCCCCTGCCTTCGTTTCCATTCACACTCCCAGCGTCCTCATTTCAGCCCCGGGAGAGGGGGGCGGAGGGAGGAGGTGGGTTTCGGGTGCCGGGCCCAGGAGGGGAAGGTGCGACCCGAGCCCTGCAGGCCGGTTTTGCGCGCCGAGGCTGCAGCACCTGCCCGCCCGCCCTGCGCGATCCTTGCGATGGGGGCGGTCACATGCTTCTTTGTGGCTGGGAATCGAGTTTCACTTCCAGCCGCTATTAGTCGGTTCACACAGTTCACTGCAAACATTTGATAATGAAGCTAAATATACTCCCGCGACGGAGGAGGCGTGGGCGGCCGTGGCCCGAGCGCGTAGGCACTGCGCTCAGGGCTCCGCGGAGCGTCCACGCCCAGGCCCGGGAGACCGAGTCGCGGACCCGGGGTAGCTGGCTTTGTGCGGGATGGAGACGCGCCCCGAGCGCCTCCCACGAAACACTCCCACCCCGGGCTGCGGCGCGCGTCTGGGAGGCCGTGGGCGCCCCAAGGTGTGCCCGGGGCCCCTGGTGGAAGTGGCGGCGCTGCGGGGAGCTCCCGGAAGGGGTGCGGGGAGCTGCTGGTGGGAGGCGCGGTGCACCTGGCGGCCTGTAATGTCCGGTCGCCCCCGGAGCCGGTGCTTCCTGCCTCTCCTGGCGCGCCCCGACGTGCCCGCGGGTCCATAATTACCGTAAGTCAGGTGACCCAAATAGGTCGAGCGAGGGGGCCTGTCGCGCAGTCGGGGCGGATGGCCGGACGTCTGCCAATGACTGGTTCCCTCCCGCCCTCCCCGGCACCGACCCCGGCACCCAGGGAGGGCGGGAAGAGCCTTGGCCATTTCTCAGGGTAGGGAGCTGCAGAGGTAAGAGACTGTCGCCGAGCCCAACCCTTCTCCCTTGTACCCACTGAGGCTGCGCGTCCGGGGCCGTCCCGGGCTTGGCACCAGTGGGCGCGCAGCTATTGCTGTCGTTGTAATTTAGTAGTAGTAGTAATGGCTGACATTTACTGCGACTTCGATTGCACCAGGTGCTAAGCTCCTTTCTTGTATAATTTCATGGACACTCCCATATCAACGCTAAGCGCAGACTTGCTGCCTCTCATATTACCGAGTCCCGAGCAGCGGGGCTCAGCACCCCAGGGTACCTCTGCAACCTCGATGAATAGATAGGATCCTCAATTCTTATGGGCATTTATACCTGGAGTTGACAGGCAGGAACAGAAATGACGCTGTGGACACTCGGGAACCACGTAGCAGCCAACACTGCCCCCCATCCCAATTCCCTCTGCTCTCTGCCCCTTGACCTTGGCCTTGATGAGATTTGTCCCTAGACTGCCCTGGGTGTCCGTTCCCTCCTCTGAAACATGGAAGGCCGACAGCCGTCACAACGCACAGCTGTGTCCTCTGTCAGGAAGCCTTCATCCCACCCACCCACCCAGGAAAAGCTGCACTGGGGTGCCCTGGGTAAGGACACTCCTGGCCACCTGCCTGCCCCTGGGGTGGGGGTGGGAGGGCCAGCTGGGCACCCGAATCCAGGCCTCTGTCCCCCGTGCCAGAGCAGATTTCAGAACAATTTGTAATGACGAAACCCCACGTTCCCCTTTATCTCTGGGCAAGGCTTTCTTCCTTCTAGGCAATTAATCCAAAAGCAACCCCAGCCGTGGGCTGGACTCCTTGAAGATCAAAACTGTCCAGCGCGGGCGTTAATTAAGTCATTATCTCAGGCCCCCAGCGACTAGGGATCAGGCCTTTCCAGTTCACACTCCCCAGAAAGGGAGATAACCCACCCCACCCTCCTGCCGGTAGGGTTAGAAGGCTCTCTCTCCGTGTCGTTTTAACTCCCTATTAAATCATTTTATTTTCTTTTAAATACACAAACAGAACTGACATTGAAAATAGCCCACGAGCCCACAATCATTTTGTGAACATTCTGTGAATGAAGGCATGTTCGAAAGGACACTTGGTGGCTTCAAGAAATGAAAGCACAGAGTCTAGCTAAACCAGGGTCATTCTGTCCAGGAGGGACGGCCACGCGTGGCTGCTGGTCATGTGAGACGTGGCAGGTCCAAACTGCCCAGTGGCAGTGTAGTAAGTGCAGGACGCTCGCCAGCTTTAGAAGGCTGGGTAAAGCATGCAAAATTTCTCATTGGGAATTATTGTATGAATTACAAGTTGAAATAGCATTTTGGATATAAGGAGTTAAATAAACATGATTACAATTAATTTCACTGTTAGCCTCCCAGAGGCTCCTCTTGCTCCTGTTGGCCACAGCCAGCTCAGAGGCTTGCTCTAGGAAATACCCACATGTTCTTTCAGCACACGTGTATGTGCCAGGCACTGTGCTAAGGACACCGAGCTGAGACCAGGCCCTCA